AAAGAGTGTGGGAGAAGTAGGGGGAGAGGGGAGGAAGCACAAGTGAGAGGAATGGGATAGCCACTCCTGCAAATTTCTTGCAGGTCCCCACTTGTTCATTTCTGATCAACATCTGAGACTGTTGCACAGGTTTAGAGTAGCTGCTTTGCTTGCAGACGGTCCCATGGCAAAACGCTCACATCTCCAGTTCAAAGGGTCGGACCTCTTGAGATCTGTTGTACGTTAGAGAAGACCAGGGCTTTTTTTGTAGAAAAAGCCCAGCAGGAACTCATTAGCATAATAGGCCACACACAATAGCTGAAACTCATTAGCATATTAGGTCATACTCTGACACCACAGCTAATTAGCATATTAGGCCGCAGCCCCATGTTGCCAGAAGTGTGGTTATCTAGCCACACCCACCTTTTGCTTCTGTTTACCTTGTTTGTTGTCAAAACCCAGGGCTTTTTTTTTGTAGCAGGGACTCCTTTGCATGTTAGGCCACACACGCCTACTGTAGCCAATCCTAATGAGTTTCTGCTGTTGGGTGTGGCCTATTATGCTAATGAGTTCCTGCTGGGTGTGGCCAACTCAGGAGCCAGCCGGAACTCCGTTCCTGTGCGTTCCTGCCCAAAAATAGCCCTGGAGAAGACCATGCTGATACACCAGTAGTTTGACTCTGTAGAAGGCAGCTTCATCTGTACTTCAAAATAGATACACTGTTCTAGTACTGCTGTCTAAATCAGCAGTCAAATAAGCTGTTTTTGGATAATGTCAGAGTTCAAAATCTGAGATAAATTGTTAACTTGTCTGATACAGAACAGTGGATAAGGCGAGACATTTTCAATCCTGTTGACCCCTGCAAATGTACATGGGCAAGTCAGAACTAATGTCAGCATGTTTCTTAAAATTTTCATAAATACGCTCTTAATATATGGTTATCCTATAAGCGGTTAATATAATCCAGATAAACAAGGTCATGCCTCCATAAATACTACTGCTTGCGGAACTGGTAATGAAGCCATTTGTAAAATGTCACCTGCCATCTAGTGGTACACAGGAGGAATACTGGCTACAACATTGGGACATCTGTGGAAATGCTTCCTCTTGTACCAAAATGTCACTTAACTACTTTAGTTCAGTCCGGTTTTTCATGAAGTTAAAAAACTAAATTTGTTTTTAGCCAGTCTAATGGTGGCATAGTATGTCTGCTCAGTTTTTATTATTCCATTTTTTAAACATTTACAAGAGGGGCATTCTTTGAAGGTTATTGTTTCACGTGTGGAAAAATGTTTCGGCTGTGGTACTGGCTGCACTGGACTATATATTAATGCATTTGTGGAGTGTGTGCAGGAACACTGAAGTTCAGAAGAGTTCAGAAAAGCAGTATAATTTTCAGGAGACCAAGTGCCTAAGAGGAGTATTCAGTTCTGCTGTGCTGCACTGGATTGATGCAATAATACCGGCAGCTGTTCTGTGGATCCGGGATATAGAACAACCCACTGGCTGTGCAACAACTACCACTGGTAGCTAGTGATTCATGAGAGCCATTACCAACCTTGTACCTGCAGGCCATGGTTAATGTGTGATCTGACCGGGCACAGCAGGAGCGCTGCTGGCTTGTACATTACCATGTGGTGTCTGGACTTCTAAGTATTCCTGGGGTGTGCTGGGACTGAAGACAGAGATAGCTTTGTTAAGCATTTTCAGAATAGGCAAAGGCTCAAAAGATATCTTGACAACTGCTTAACTGGATTTGTCCTCTAGAGGACATTTCCAGTGCCAAAGAGTATAGCATTTCCTGACCTTAACTGGTATACATTTTCTTCAAAGGTTTTCACAACCTGCCACCAAAAGTTGCCTACAATACAAATAGGTGTGGCACGGTCATAAAAACTATTCATATATTCTGGCAGACACATGGTGAAGACAGCATGGTTGTGCCAGTGCCTGCCCCACTCCATCTGCTCCCACTTCCAGCTCCCCGCCGTCATTTGCCCTGGCATCTGAGAGTAGGGTTGCCAAACCCCCCGGTTTGCCAGGGGTCCGTTGTTTTGGGGGGGTTCTACCCGCCGCCGGCCAGATGGCCGGCAGGGGAAGCTCCACCCCCAACACCCACAGCCACCCATCTCTCTCCCTTTATGTGTGTGGAACTCATGTTTCCTGATCTCCGCAAGCTTGCAGGGAAATGCCAGCTTCGTGCTCTTAAAAGGGAAACGTGGCTGCTCTTAAAGGGGAAACGCCGGCTCCTGCACTTAAAAGGGAAACGCCGGCTCCTTTAAGTGCAGGAAACTGCCGTTTCTGGAGATCTGGCGCACGGGCGGGTGGGGGGGGCGGACGTCCCCAACGTGACGTCATCACGTCGGGGATGCCCCGCCCCCTCCAGGAACGCCCCTGAAGTCCCCCGCTGGGGGTGGAAGATGGACTTGGCAACCCTATCTGAGAGCTGGGTTACACTTGACATTCACCATGTAAAAAACCAGCCTGGCTCTGCCGGTTCAGAACTGCAAAGGCAAAGCACGTTGGAGGGCCTTGAAACGCCCACTCACTATCTTTCTCTTTGCTGAGTCATGCTTAAAAGGGAAGGAGGAGCCACTGGCCAGGCCTTCTCCTTTTGTGCCTTTCCCTTTTTTGCT